GTTCTTGTGTCCATCTTCTTCTAGCAGAAAAAGAGGGCAGGCAGGTCTGCGTCTTGCGTGGTATGCAACCTTATACCCGTCATTTTATTTTTTTAAATGTGTTTTGCTGTTTGAAAAATGTTTTCATATCCGACGAAAAAAATTACAAGAATAATTAAAGGGAGGAAACCAGATATGCGCCCTATTTTTTAAACTTTCATAGTCAACTGTTCAATTGCATGAATATAGCCTGCATAAGTTTACGGAAATAATTTTGTTTGGTTTGCGTTTTTATTTTGAATTTCACCGAAAAAAATTGCTTTTGTGTGAAACATTTTACTTTTAATGAATCACGCTGTGTTGATACCTTCCGTAATTTGCTCATTTTTGGGACTTAAGTGAAGAATAAGGTGAATTTTCGAAAAATTGCCATATAATCGTAGTTATACAAAATATCCACAAAATATCGAAATTGTCCCGATGGATTACCTGTCTACCTGACTATCAAGCTCAACTGCCCTGTGAATGGGGATTTGGAATTTTGGAAAAAAACTTTTTTTTAACAACCTGTAGTATAATGCTGTGTGCACAATATCCTATTCTCAAAATTAAACGTAAGTCAAAGAATCAACTATTGTTCATTTTTTGGACTAAAATTAAGAATAACGTGAATTATCGAAAAATTGCCATATAATCGTATTTAGCCAAGATATTCACAAAATCTCGAAAACGTCCCGAGGGATTACCTAACTTATAATAGGGAGGGGTATTACGACTATCAAACTCAACTGCCCTATGAATGGGAATAACGTGAAATTTCGGAAAAAATACATCTCGTCGTTTAACACCCTGTAGTATAATGCTATGTGCAATATATCGTATTCCCAAAATTAGACATAAGAGTCAAAGAATTAGCCATTCAGAATTTCGAAAGATTTTAAAAATCGATTCAGGAATTTTCCAATAACGAGCTTTCAAATATTTTCCACAAAACTAGGTGCGTCGTTTTTTATGACGATCAGTTTATTTAGTATTGCTGATTTAAGACTCTCAAATCACAAAAAAATAACAAAACTCCAAATTTATCCTGCAATTGGCATGTTCTCATGCCAGGGTGATGTAAGTTACCGACCTTGTATTTCTTATTATCAAAGTTACACATTGTAACTTGAGCAATATACTAAGCATAAGACTCCCTACCCAACCTAGTGAGACTCCAAATTCCTTACATTACTTACTTCGAACAATACAGAATAAGAAGGTAAAAATTGCAATCCTAAAATTAAATTATTAATAAATTTGACATAAAGTAACTTTCAAAGCAAACACTTTTTGTGACGTACTTTTACACCAGTAGATACTATTATTATTACAATTTTTAACATATTGGGATTCCCAACTAATTTATTACGTAAGACTCGCACATAATTACTGATTAAATCACAAATGACTACCGGGACTTCCGGAACAAGCATCATTTAGGGACTGTCCAATTATTTCACATGGTGACTCTCTATTACTCCCTGTTGATAATCCCAACCAATCAGAAATTTATTTAATGGGACTCCCATGTATTATTGATTTAAACTCTTAAATGGCTACCGGGACTCCAGGGCCAACAAGCATCACATTAGGGACTCCCTAATGTATTTCACATGGAGACTCTCCTTTACCCCTGGTTGGGACCCCCAACCAGTCACCTAATTATTTTATGGGACTTCCATATATTATTTCAACTCTTTAATAACCAACAAATTTGTTAAGATCATATTAGGGACTCCCTAATATATTACATATTATGTATAATATTATGAAGACCCTCCATTTTTATTAGTTGTAAAAACTTGTAAATAATAACATTAACAAACATGGAATATAATGATAAAAAGAAAACTTATCTTACCGTAATATCTTTGATGTAGATGGTGGTAAAATTCACATCTGATCTCTGGCAGAAACAGTTTCCCGTTTTAAGGTATGCATATGGGATCATGTATCATGTATGGAACTCCCATATGACTGACTTTCAAATCAGGTTTTCTGGATAACGCCAGCTAGGGACTCCCTAGCTATTTAACATGGATACTCTCCATTTTTACCAACTACTTATAGTAATTGTCAATGTCATATTATACTAAGCCTCAGGTTACATAATTGATCTCAAAAAAATGAACTTATCTTAAGTAAATCCTGTGAAGCTTGCGGCCACTTGCGTAACTGGTCCCTAGCAGCGACTGTTTCTTGCTTCCCACCTTTACCCAAACAATAACGATCATTGGGTAGTACTCTTTTAATAATATAAGGGCCTTTATTGCACCCAACTTCCCTCTTCCCGGAGCGTGGGTGTCTTCTACCAAAACATGATCACCAACATTAAATGAAATAGCTGGTTTCCGGCGTTGATTTAATCTTTCTATAGTAGATTGATAAGTATCTCGGGCTTGCATATTCTGAGTGGCTTTCACGAACAAGTCCCTTTTCAATCATTTCGTCGATAAGCGTCTTTACTCGGATTCTTTCTGCATATGCTAGGTTGCGAGGACGGTGCCCTGCGGGTGTAGGATCTTTTAGCTTTACTACTAATTCAGCTTTCGTGATAAAAGGTACTGTTTTATTGCGGTAATGAAGTAGCAACGAAAGTTATAGTTTTTTTCTGTTTCGGCCAGTCCTTCTATTTTAATATCGCTGTCCATTCGTACTCTAGCAACAGTGGGTACATATGGGTCCTTATACGATAGGTCTACGCATCCTGCTGACTTAATTAATTGCAATTCAGATAGTTTAATAACATCTAGGCCAATAAGTGCGTTTGAAACACCAGGCATTGCCTTGTCAGCAATTATAAGAAATTGAATTTCGATCGTGACATCTGGTAACACAACATAAAGCTCGCAGCGTCCTTCACAGTTTACAGAGGTGCAGACCGTATTTAAAGTTGTGTCATCCGGTAAAATAGTGTCACACAAAGATACGCAGCACTTTTTCTAATCAATGATACATCAAAACTCGTATCTATGAAGTACGATAAGGTGGACGCCTTGCCCCTAACAATATTGTAACCAATTGGGTTCGATCAGCTGATCGTGCTGGCCGTATGCACTGAACCACCTTGGGTTTAACATTTTTCTTCGTATAGCAATCTACTTCCGCGTGACCTAACTTTTTGCAATAGGTACATTCCTGTAATTTTCTTTGATGTTCATTGTTTGTATTCGGCCTGACTCTATGTCTATGAGTACGATCTTTTTCGTTGGCCACTTTTTCCACATTTAAATAAACGCGTGCGCGATTATCATCTCTGTTTGTCCACTCTTTGACGCTTATTTGAGTGCTGGGAACTATGCTCCTGATGTCGGGATAAGAGCGATTTTTCGGCTTCATATGGACCTACTAACAGTAATTACTGTTATTCTTAAGAGACTGCTGATATTTCGGTTTCCTTGCTTGAATTAATTCACTTGCACTTCGATTATCTAAGCCAGTCACAGCACAGCTCAATAGGTATTCCCTTGAGAGGGAATCTAGAAATCGTTTTAAATAGCGGGTTTTAGTCAGCACATAATCGGTTAATGTCCTAAATTTGCTACTCTTTAAATTTGCAGCACGCAGCATACGTGTTCCGTGAGTCTCGCCATCGGGAAATGCATTCATAAAATCTATTATAAAATTACAATTTCTCTCGACTGGACGTTAATGGTTGTAAAGCTGCAAGGCCCTGCCTTTAAACGCGTCAGCGCAACGCACTATTATCCAGCTATCATCAATGAATAGTCTGTCTTTAAGTTTTGTCTGCCAGCCACTCGACAATAGTGTGAGAGCCATCATCTGGATCGAAGGCCGCCAAACGAAAACGTGACTTAGGCTTTATTACTGCGCTAGCAGAATTAAAATTTTGTACAGTACTTGCCGCTCACTGCTTCCGGTCTCGATTCTCCAGGTGCAAAAATTTGCATAGTTTGCTGAAACGCCTGTGCATAGGGCACTGCCTCTGGTGGCACCTGTGTTACACTAATTTCAGTCACAGTATTGTTTTTCACATGTTCACTAAGTTTAGGCACAGTATTGTTTGCCACATTTTCACTAAGTTCAGGCACAGTATTCTTTATCTCACTCATATTTACTTCAACGTCACCGTGGATTTTATCCATCGTATTTATGTTTTTAATAATAAACACACTAAATAGGCAATTTCAGGTGTCAGGTGGCTAAATTGCCCTAAGCTCACCACCCAACCACACCCCGAGCTCTATTCAATGAATACATATCGGTGTAACGGACAAAGAATAACTGCTGAAATATTCGTACTTTTGCAAAGCACAGGCTTTAGGGGAATTACCCAATTACTTAGGGGAATTACCTTGTACATTGTACAATGTACAATCCCCACAAAGAATAACTGCTGAAATATACGTACTTTTGAAAAGCACAGGCTTTAGGGAAATTACCTTGTATAGTCCTCACAATTTATAGTTACGCCATTGGTCAATAGATGGAAGACATGGTATCGATTATTTTAATTTTTTAGCATTTTTAGTGGATCAAAATATAAAAATACTCAGTTTTGGTAATTTTGGACCCATCTTTTTATTTAAGTTCATAAAGTTTTGGTTGTGAACAATATAATATATCCAAAATTCAGCCTATCCGTATTTTGTTTTAATGTACATATTGACTTAACTAAACAGGAAACAAGAAAAAATGATTGACATTACTAGAGAGCAGCATGAATCTTCATCTAGGACCGCTTGTGACCATTGACATAATATGTATATTGTTTATATTATTATGTTATTATATTGTTTTTTATGATAGACACATATGTCACACATGTCTATGATCTAAGATTACTGGCTGCAAGAACACTGTATATATAGTGTTTTTGACTGCCTGGTTTAATTGTTTTACAAAAAAATTCCATAATATTTGTGCATTATTTTACTTCTTTTTTGATTTGATAAGTAAACCAAATTAATGTTAACATTGTTTTTATTTATTTTTTAGAATTTTAAGTGGTATTTGGAATGGGCAAATATTCAAGTGATTCAGAAACTGATAAAAGAGGAGGCAAAAGCTATTCTAGTAGGAATAAAAGAAGGTAATATAATAATAAGGATGTAATGACTAAATCCCGTACTAAGCCTGTATTAAAGTCTGCAATTCTATGTGCAATACACAATACTCTTGCAAGTCTATTTCCGTTTCAAACTATCGGTCATCATCCATTTTTTTGCAAGTCTGGTCATATAATATATAAAATATGATATCGGGCATCAATAATGCCCGATATCATATTTCACTTGATAGCACATACATAAATGGCATACCCTCATTAAATCTTTTAAAAAAATAAATTTTTACTAAAATGTATGCGTTTTATAAATAGCATTTTTAAATTTGTAATGTAACGAACTGGAAAGGAGGACAGTTGATAATTCAAAAAAAATATATAACCACAAAAAAACTACCTTTGGCCTAGATACGTAAGTATAGTTGTCGCGGCGAATGTTTCAAATTGCGTCATTAAATTCTGAACCAAGCACAGACATTACAATTATTGTTGTTTTCTTTTACGTGTATAATCCAAGAAACCGCTTGGTTAAACGTATGTCGAGAAATCGGTTTTTGACCTTCGACATTGATGACGCAATTTGAAACATTCGCCTCGACGACTTTACTTGAGCAATTGAAAAGATTGTAAAACAAAGAAACGTATTAAATTAAAAACGGCTAATAAAAATTTGGCTATTGACAGAGTTTGAGAAATTAATTTCGGAAGCAAAAAAATGGTATAACACAAATAAGCTTATCCTCAACACAAATAAAACAAGCATATTATTATTTAGGACCAGAAAAGAAATATCGGATAGAGTTTTATTTAATAATCAAGAAAAAAATTTAGTTAGCGATACGAAATTTTTGGGTGTTTGTATCGATGAGTTTTTAACCTTTAACCACCACATAGACAATTTATGTAAACAATTAAACAAAATTAATTACGGGTTAAGGACCATTTGTAGGTACTTTAACCCTAAAAGTGGACAAATTATATATTTCTCAAACTTTGAATCCAAAACAAGATACGGCATAATACCCAGAGTAATAGTACTAAGTACTAATAGTAATATTGAAAAAATATTTTTTATACAAAAAGCGGCTTTAAGAACTATTTTCATTTCATTTATTTTGGTCATTCAAGCTATATACAATATAGATATAACAGGTCAAGAAAATAACATGGCTATAGCTATATCTAGATATATAAATAATAAATAGTACATACATACATGAAAGACAAATAAGAAATGGGTATAAAATTAGGCGTGGCCTAAAGCTTTATTTAAAAAAGTTATTTCATAAACACATTGTTTAAGCAAGAAACTTTTAAGTGATGTTTGAAATAAATTGTTATTTGGTTGCTGTTTAATACTTTTAGGAAGATTATTATATATTTTTAATCCTGCGTAAAAGGGGTATTTTTCATATAGAGACAAAAAATGTTTCGGTGTACGAAGTTTACGAAGTCTGATTTACGTGTATTATAACCATGTTCAATATTTTTGTTATAAATATTTTTAGATTTTTACGAACATAACATGACAAAGCATATAAGTAAATACCATGCAGTGTTAAGATTTCATAATCTTTAAAATATGGTTTACAAGAAACTAAGGGTTTTAAGCCAAAAATCACTTTAATAGCACGCTTCTGCAAAATAAATACTCTGTTGATTTCTGTTGCTCTTCCCCACATAACTATGTTATAGGATAAGTGGGGTTACACAAGCGCATAGTATGCTTTAATTAATAACTGTCGTGGTAAATTGTTACTTAAAGTTAATGTTAAATATGGTATCCCCATGAAAGATCATAGTCCAGTATCGTTCCTAGGAATTTAACTTTATTTACAAAGTTTTAGATTAAGGATATTTTGCTCATCTTGACTTAATATTTTTCTGGGTGAAAAATATATATATTCCGTTTTTTCAATGTTTACCATAAGTCGATTTTTAAATTACCAGTATTTGAAGCTGCTTATGACTTCCCCCACTAATTGTTTGAGTTTTGGAAGGTCCCTTGCTGATACCATAATAGACGTATCGTCAGAATACATGGTTACTCTACCGTTTACACATTGCGGCAATTTACATATATGTATTATATATAATGAAAAGAGTAAAGGTCCCAGCACCGAACCCTGGGGAACTCCTATATCACTAGGATATTCCTTGGATTTATTACTTTTAAACTTAATATACAAGGATCTACCGTCAAATATGAGTTAAGCCATTGGGATAATATTCCTCTAAAACCCAACTTGTATAGCTGAATTAGTAGGAAAGATATGTCCATGGTATCAAATGCACGACTTAAATCCAAGAATATCCCAACGACATAGCGCTCATTATTTAATTCTTCATACTTAATACTTTTGAAAAGGAGTTTAGAAGGGATATTGGTCTGTAATTAGATTTATCAAGTGATGTGCAATTATTCTACTTATGTGCTTCAATACCTTAGCAGAGATGCCGTCATCGCCGCATGAGTTTGATGACTTAAGAGAGCTTATTGTTTTTAAGACTTTAAGTGGAGTTGTCTCCCCCATGAAAAATGAGTTATTTTCTTCTTCGTCAAGGGTACATTCCTCGGATAGTCCACCAGGAAAATGTTCACCAAGCTTTTTATTAGTAACTGTTCAGAAATATAATGCAAAAGATTAAAATTACTTTAGGGTTTGTTATTATAACATTATCATGACGAATGCTTTATGCATTTACTTTGTGTTGTTTATTTAAAAAAAAGATTCTACTATTTTCAAGTATTTTTTTTGATTGATTGGTTGCATTGTTTACTTTTGAATTGTAGTAAGATTTTTTAGCATTATTTATTTTGTTTTGAAGTAGTTTTTTATTTGTTTTATATAGGTTATTAACCTCTACAGTTTGTAAGTGTGTTTTTAACCAGAATAACTTTTTTAAATACAAACTATCTTTTATTATTTCTTGGTTAAGCCATTCTTTATTATTGTATTAAGTTTGATCTATTTTTAAAAGGTTTTTGGGACACGCGGTGTTTTAACAACTTAAGATTAAATTTATAAAATTTGTATATGCTTGGTTAACATCTTCCAGTAAGACATTGTCCCATGGTTGGGAACACAGTAAATTTGAAAGTCTCTGCAAATTAGCAAAAGTTTTATTTATGTATTTTAACTCAGGACGAGTTTTTATTTTATTGTATGGTAACGACAATGTAAGAGATATGGCAAAGTGATCCGCTATATTGAAATTAATTTTATTGCTTTCATAAATACATTTTTTCTCAAAGTCAGTTACCAATCATAGCGCAACAGCAATAGATTATATTATAATCTATTGCTGTTGCGCTATGATTGATCACTCTTGTAGCAGTAGTGGTTGTGCATCTTAGGCTTAGGCACCCAAACACATCTAGCAGTGAGTTTGTGGTTTTGGAGTCCTTTAGGAAGTCTATATTGAAATCATCACATAGGACAATATTTTTATATTTGCTTTGACAGCATCTTAAAAGCACAGAGAGGCTTTCCAAAAATAAATTTGTATCTCCATTTCCAGGGCGATAGCAGCAAATTACACAGCTTTGTACATGATATGGGAATTTTTAATATATAGGTTATTTATATTGTTGTTGGTATTTTTATTGTCGAAAAAAGTTAAATAAACTAACTGCAATACCTTTAGTCCACGTAGTTGAGTTTAACAAAATTTGTTTGTAACATTTAATGTTCTTTGTTTACACCAATTTTAAAATATTATTAAGTTGAATTTTCATTTTTCGATTCCAGTTTATAGCAGGAAATGTTGTCTATTGAAAATTTGGAGTTGATATAGGTCTTCAGTTTGTTTGCGGTGTAGTCTAGATGAAAACAGGAAGCGTGAATCCAGATCCTAGGCTTTTTTTCTACTGATATGTTATCGGTGTCCTCCGTATCTGCGGTGCCAATTATGATGGAATTTTGTTTGTTGCTTTTGTTTATGTTTTTTGTGAATCACTGTGACGAAGCTATCATCAGATTCCGGTGGTGTTTCATTCGATGGCAGAGATTATTATCTGTAGTTATCATATCAGAGGTACCATCGAGAATTAATTTTGGTTGAGAGATGTCGTGATTGGAGGATTTTGGGTTTCGATTGTTTTGCCGGCAATTTTCTGGGTTATTTGTTAGAAAACTTACTTATTCGTTTAATTGTTTTATTTCTACTGATTGCTGGATTATAATACTCTTTAAGTCAACGACTGCATCCATATGTGATCTCAGATCACGTGTTATCGACATACACGTATAACAAAACCATTACACTATACAGTTCCGAGATCCCATAAGTCTTAGTTCATAGTCCTTTAAATTGACACAAGAACTTTGAAAAACACTTACGTACGTACCACTACATTTAACTATATTTTTTGATAAGTTTTCTACATCGATATTGCATTTTTTACACTTTAAAATTGGTAAATTTTCAGGACGAGCTCTACTATCATCCGCCATTTTCAAAGATGACAAAAAATTTAGAGAAACGTGCAGGGGTAAATTTTCTACTAACAAAATTTTGACAATATATGGTTTGTATATCTATGAATGCCTTATGTATCTTTTGAAACACAAAAGTTCGTTTACTTTAAATAAGGTAAATACCTATCAAACTAGAACCCTAGATATAACATACCCATAACATTCTCTATCAAAAACAGAAAAAAGCCCGCACTACGTGTCTTTTAAGATTTTTTAACCAAATACCAAATAAAATAAAATTAATAACTAGCGTAAAACTATACAAGAGAGATAAAAAGCCTGTTAGTTAAATTCGAACCTTATAGCATAAATGATTATCTTAATGCAAACTTAAATACTTACAGAATTAAGTATGAGTGTGTGTATCTATATTTATATCTTTGTATATAATGTTATAACGTCATTTTACTTCCTGTTTTTATTATGCTTATTTTTTTGTAAAATAATAATGTATTATGGATATGAGTTTTGAAATAAAGAAATATTATTATTAAAAAAAGTTTATCAAGAAAAACAACCATAAATTATTAACATGAGTTACTATTGTTGCTACTGTATATCAATACCTTCGATTTAAGTTAATAATATTAGATAATAAATTGCACCACTTTAATTTGAATTATCTCAAATAGGTGGGCCTGGAGGCGGGTGAGGCAACAGGAAAAACTAATTTTTTTTCGCAAACTTCAATTTAAATTCTGTTTGCGCCGAACTTGTTGATTTAAACTATTAAATTATAATTGGGTCAGAATTTCTCAAACGGGCCCCTGAATTAGGTCAAAATTAGTTTTTGTTTGTAGATACATTTTTTTGATAGTATTTTACATCACTAACACAAATCCTAAAGGATTTTGTAAAAAAAAAAATTTCAATTGACATATTCATGATATTAAAAGTCAAAGTTTTTAATAATTAAAAAATAAAAAAATTCATTATGGCTGAACTAATTATCCGATTCCAACGATATAACTAGCGTTGGAATCTTGTTTTGACATAGATTCTTTGTTATTTTTTTCAATTGTCCTATTTTCATTTAGGTCGATTTTTTTTTGTTTTTTTTATACCAAATTCGGAAATAATTGCCTTCTGCGCCAGCTATCGACTCGAGAAAAAAAACACATATACTCCAATCATTTCTCGAAATTATGCTGCTGAGAAAAAAAATGGCCCGCAGGTTGACAAAAAGTTATTCGTCCTTTTGTGGCCGCGCGCGGTGTCAGCTCACGCTCCGAACCGTGTACGCTGTACGCGCTTGTGACGCGACGTCTTACGGTGCACACTGGGAGGAATTTCAAAAATCGCGGACAAAACCCTATTTTGTAAAAATCAACATAGTAAATTTTAAATTACGAGTTATAAAAAAAGAAAGCACAGAGATTATGATTTTAAAAGAAATATATTTTTTATGATAAAATGCCCGCTTAAACTTGCTTAAAAAGTCACAGTGTTCGTGTCGGTTTTTTAGAGCAAATTGTATGTAAGTTTTTTAAGCCCATTTTTGTTTTGCGAATTAATGAAAGGAAATGATGGTATATTTTACTACATTCCTTATCGTTGTTCTTTCATATAAAAGTCTAAAATTGCAAATTTTACCATAAATACGGTTTTTATAAACCTTTTACCATCGCCTTTAAAAGTAGATAAATCTTTTACAAACCACAAGATATTTCGTTAGGTGTGCCTTGGTGTGACGCAAAGTATTTGGTACCAGAACGTTCATCAAATTTTCTTTTTTTAAAGTCAAAAGAATTAAGCTGCCTTTTTTTGCCTGTTTGGTCAGCAGAATATGAAATATGTCCATGAATTTATCATATTAGTCGAATATTTATAAGTCATCATAGTTGCCTTTTGCTAGTTCTAAAACGTCAGTTTCCAGTAAAAGTCAATCATACATACAATCTCATCGTGTTTTTGTGTTTATTAACGCTTTATAATAATATTTGGTAAGTTATAATAATAATATTAATATAAATATTACATGTTTATTTGAATAACTTCCTTCTTTTTATGTAGAAATGCCATCAACGACTAATAAGGAGTTGTATGAACTTATTAAAAATGTTAATGACAAAGAAAAACACAACAAACTTTTAAAGTATCTAACCGAAAACCTGGATATTATTGATAAATCTTATATTGTCCCCTGAATCCGAAAATATCGTCAAAAGTTAAAAAAGTAAAACAGTTTTTGAGATATAGTCAATTTTTCATTTAATATGGAATTGACTATATTTTAAAAACTGCTCCACTTTCATAATTTTTTATGGCCTTTTCGGATTCAGGGGACAATTTTACATAAGAATTGGATGTTAAATTTTGGGATACCATTATATTCCATGGTTCCATGGTACAAGTAAAAAAGCAGCCAATAATAACTATTAAATTAGTCATTTTTGACTAATTCATTTTTAGAGAGTAGGTGAAAAACGTGGATTTAACCGGTTTTGCGTCAACTTTTAAATGTTATTTTAACATCGATATAGGGTTTTTTGGACCAAGTCACTATAGTAGTCGATATAAATAAAGCAAAAGATGCGAAATTTCCAAAAAAAAGATGTATCGAAAAAAATGTATATAAGTGATTTAGCTCGAATTCCTTAATTCGAATTCCTTAATTGTTATTTTTTTTTGTTTATTTTTCTATTTTTAGCTTAGGTAATATTTCGTTATATATTTGTTTATTAATTTATGTTTTTGGAAAATGGAGGATCGACAATACCGAACTTTTTCAAATTGTTTAAAACAAATTTGTGAATTTGTGTACATAATTAAAACATTTTATTAATATTAATATTTTAGCATACATTTACCACCGCATAAACCTTAAAATGGCTTAAAATAATGTGTCCCTAATTTTGTCCGCGATTTTTGAAATTCCTCCCACTGTGCGGTGGTCTGGAACCTGCGGGCCATTTTTTTTCTCAGCAGCATAATTTCGAAAAATGATTGGAGTATATGTGTTTTTTTTTTCGAGTCGATAGCTGGCGCAGAAGCCAATTATTTCCGAATTTGTTATAAAAAAAACAAAAAAAAATCGACCTAAATGAAAATTGTACAATTGAAAAAAATAACAAAGAATCTATGTCAAAACAAGATTCCAACGCTAGTTAAATCGTTGGAATCGGATAATTAGTTTAGCCATAATGATTTTTTTTTATTTTTTAATTACTAAAAACTTTTACTTTTAATATCATGAATATGTCAATTGAAATTTTTTTTTTTTAAAATCCTTTAGGATTTGTGTTAGTGATGTAAAATACTATAGAAAAAATGTATCTACAATCAAAAACTAATTTTGACCTAATTCAGGTGGCCCGTTTGAGAAATTCTGACCCAATTATAATAAATTTGGTGTGGGTCCCATGTCCAATAACTGAGATATTGGTATACATAAAATCCACCAGCCGCCACTGCTTCCATCTAATTTTGAGAATAAGATATTGTGCACATAGCATTATACTACAGGGTGTTAAGAAAAGAGATGTTTTTTTCAAAATTCCAAATCCCCATTCACAGGGCAGTTGATAGTCCTAATACCACTTCCTAATCCCTCGGGACGTTTTCGAGATTTTGTGGATATCTTGGCTAACTACGATTATATGACAATTTTTCGAAAATTGTCGTTATTCCCTAGTTGTCCAAAAGTTGAGCAATAGTGGATTCTTTGACTCTTATGTCTTATTTTGGAAATACGATATTGTGCACATAGCATGATACTACAGAGTGTTCTCAAAATTAGACGTAAGTCAAAGAATCCACAATTGCCCATTTATTGGACTAAACTGGGAAATAACGACAATTTTCGAAAAATTGACATATAATCGTAGTAAGCCGCGATATTCACAAAATCTCGAAAATGTTCCGAGGGATTACCTTACTTATATTAGGGAGGGGTATTACGACTATCAAACTCAACTGCCTCATGAATGGGAATAACTTGAAATTTCGGAAAAAATACATCTTGTCGTTTAACACCCTGTAGTATAATGCTATGTGCAAAATATCGTATTCCCAAAATTAGACATAAGAGTCAAAGAATCAGCTATTCAGAATTTCCAAAGATTTTCAAAATCGATTCAGTAATTTAAGCCTAAAAAATAAATTAACTGCCCATTACAGTACTAACTTCTTGAACACTTTACAAAGCAGGTTTTGAGTTTGTATCGCTTGCTTACAGCGACAGACCTAATAACAATTGTTTTCTGCTTGCCGGTGACAAAGTTAACTTCGTTGTTGGCAAGCCTACTTAGTGGTGGTAGAAGGGAATATGATGTTAAAAAAATAAGACTCGTATCACTTTTTTGGTTTAAAAGTTCCTATTTTTTTAGATCGACATCTTCTAGTTCCGACAGTTCAAAAAGTAAATATAGAAGAGATAAAAAATATAAAAGAAGATCGCGAAGTAAAAGTAGAGATAAATATTCCAGATCAAGGTTTGTGTCATTATTTTCAGTCATACAGTTTAATAAAAATAATATACAAAATTTTAGGAGATCTAGAAGCAGTAGTGTTTCTACGTACCATTCATCGACAAAATCAAAATACTGTCGATCCAGTTCCAAAGAAAAATCCAAATACAAAAAATCGCCATCTAGGGAGAAAAGACGTTCACACTCTAGAGATCGCTTTAGATCTCGAAGATCAAGATCTAAATCATACATACGAGAATACGCTTCAAAGCCGAAAAATCGTTCGGATAGTTCAGAATCCAGCTCATCAGAGTCAAATCAGTCGAATCCCAAAAATATAATAACACGAGATAAAAAAAAGACGCACACTGACAGTAGTGGTTTGCCTTTAAAACAAAGTAAAAATTTTGATTATCTACCTAATTGCACAATAACTGATAATAAAGTAATTGCCGAAATAAATGAAGACAAGTTTGCACCCAAAAAGTTTATAAGCAGTGGTAAATCCAAGAAGGATGAAAAAATTGTTATTGACTTGAAAAAACAAACTATTAAAATACCTAAAGTGGAACCAATAGAACCTGATAGCATATTCCATCATAATGTAAGTACCTAAATAGTACCTATAAGACCATTTATTAAATTAAAAGTTTGAGAGGGTTATAAGAAAGTTATATTATAAGGCATAAATATTATTTTGCTGACTCCGTGGGATCGCCGCTTCTTGGTGTATCTCTTGGTAATATCAGGGCCGGATTAAGACAATTTGTCGCCCTAGGCCAATAATAATGGCGCCTATAATTACAGCCCAAATTAGTACCTAAAATTAATATAACACAATACATGTTAGCTTACAGGGGTGCACATAGGGGGACAAGTAGGGTCTTATAAAAAAATACAATAAAATAAAAAAGTAATTGTATTGTATATAGAAAAACAAAACAATGAAGAAGTAATTTTTCAATTTTTAAATAACCTTAAACAGAATTTTATCTATAATATTTCGTCCTTACTGCAAAAGGTCACTTTGACGCCTTTCTGCACAAGGGAATCAACCCACAAAAATAAAAAAAATCGAGATAATTAACTCATATTTCACGATTTTTAGTGTATGTTATTTCTCTTCTGCAGAAAGGCGTCCAAGTGACACGACCTTTTGCATCATCAACGACGATTTACAATTTTATTTTCCTGCATTTAAAATCGGAAAAGGAATATTTTTAAAATATATTTTATTTGCTTCTTCTGCTTCTATAGAAGAGCAGTCTTCTCGTCTACTAGCCAACTGCGTTGAAATTTTGTTATTCTTTTTAAGAAAGAAAAATATCTTTCTCCTGTACAAAATCCACATTACTATTATTATAATAGTAATGTGGATTTTGTAATTGAATCATATAATATTAATATTGGGGAATGTTGAAGTAATGTTTTTCTCCTTAATTAGTTTTGACCATATGCTATTTAAAACAATGTTTTTTATAAAATACTTATTTATTTTAAATGATTAATTTTAATATTCCACCTACTTAAAAAAATTGAGCCTTCTGCCTGGGCGCCTATTGGCTTCGCGGCGCCCTAGGCCATGGCCTAGGTTGGCCTATTGGTTAATCCAGCATTGGGTAATATGAGAAATATGGAATGTTGGTATTATCTTTGTACTTGCTGATAAGGTGTTTGTGGATGATATAACAGCTCCCCCTTATAAAGAAAAGTCGATGCTATAGCATTGACTTTTATTGAGATAGTTTTTCTGAAAGGTTGATTTCTTCGATTGGTTCTCCTAGGTGAAAGGAGGGACGTCTTCTTGGAAGCAGATGTCTCCAGGGTTGCTGGGCGTTTTCTGGTAGCCTTGGTCTTGGTGCTGGAGGAGAGTCATCGTTGAAGTTGGTTACAATAACGGGAGTACGCCTTTTTGGTTTGAATTTATAGAGGCTGTAGATAATTAGTATAGCAATGAGTACAAAGGTAATAATTGTAGACCAGGAGATAGATTTTGTAATAAAGGGTTCATTTATTAGTTTGTCCAATTCTTCGGAATATTGATTGAGCTTGTGATAAGCGATGTTTAAGTCTTAGGTATTTATCTTTTTTAACTTTAATGGCTTTAATGTAGGAAGTTTTTCTTTTCGTGGAAGGTTTTTACAACAGTCAAATGAAACTTGTACGGGGGTGACTTCTATATGTTACGTTTAGTAATTTTTTCAGTTGAAGTTTTGATTGGATTCGTGTATTTCCAATAAAAGCACTGCATCGGGAATTTAACTGAATTAGTGAAGTAGTTTTAATAGTAGCTGTCTGTGTGTTTTGGTCGTCATATTTGATGGTAACTGGTAGGTCTTCGGATACAGAAACAAGCCATTGATTTTTGTTAATTTCATTTACGTTGTAGTCATCAGCCAGGATTTTTGAAGTTATGCAATTGGTGAGTAATTTCTTTTGAGCTTTGAATAGTTGAGCTTCGCAAATAGCGTTGTCGTCAATTGGATATGGCAGCATATTGAAACAAATTTGTTGAGTGGAAGAAAGTGTTTTACATTTTTCTAATTGCAAGTCTTGAATTGGTAAGTAAAATGTTGAATCATCATCTCTCGCGATATATTTTATTGTTGTTGGTAAAATGTGAAGGAGACCTGTTCGATTATCTAATAGTGGTATTGGGTAAAGACGATAAAGGGTGTAGGTCTCTGGATGTGTAAGAGGGATGTTTAAGACAAAAACAATTCTGAAATCAATTTGGAATGCTTTTAAATCAATTATATCTAAATATTTTGCAATGTTTAATGGTGATATTTCTATAGGTAGATTATTTCTATTTAGTGACCGGGAAATTTTACTAAGTGATTTCATTAAATCTGAAGGTGTTATTATTGTATTATGAAGTATTTTCAATCGAGCAAATGAGATGGAGTCCAAAATATCATCTAGAGTGTCCTTTATAAAAATATAACTTTCCATTAGTGACTCGCATATGTCTAAGAGTTTGACTTGTGATTCGTATAGCGAAATTTCGGTATCAAAATTGTTTAGTTCGTTTTGTATGGTGCCAATGTTTTTGTTAAACGTTTGCTCGTCAATTTGTAGGTTTTGTATGGTATTATTAAAGTTCTTGATGACTGAAGTTGTGACTTATATTTGATTTTTTATAAGATTTTCTATCTGATTTTCATCGCGTGATATTTTGTTTATGCAATTATTTAAATATTCTCCATCACTGGCATCAAGATTGCCTGTTATGGATTTCCAAATAGTACCTATGCCGTTCAATAAACCTCGCTTTGGTCTTTGTGAATATTTTTGTGTTCCCGAAAATATTTCTTGATATTTTAAATTGATTGAATCGGATATTTGATTTAGTAAACTAACATGAGTTTTGACTTGTATATTTTTTGCTGCTACTCTAGATATTTCAAGGTGATCCGTAAGTGTACTTAGGACGTTTTTAAGAATTTTTTCGTTATTTTTTATAGTTTTCTGAATGGGAAGTAAGTCTTTGTAAACTAAAAGTGTCCATTTGTCATTGGATATTTTCATCTGATTTAATTCATTATAAAAAAGTCCGATTGTGTTGTCAACAGGGGTTATTGAATATTGGGTGGAGACGACGGTGGTCAACCCAAAGAGTCTAAAAAGGGAGATAAATTATTCGTAAGTCTGTCAAAATTTACTTTAGTTCTTTAATTAGTTTTTGGGTTCAATAAAATTGCTGAGTTGTTAAATAATTCTATTATTTCAAATGGTCCATTAAATTTATTTTGAAGTTTGTTTTTTATTTGCGATTCTTTAACTAGAACTTTATCATACTAAATACTAATGGATTAGGTGGGACTGTCAAAACCTAATCTTTGCTTTTTCTTTTTGAGTTTGGGTTTTTGCCCTTGCTATTTTATAATAATATTCCATCCGATTATTCAAATCACGAACGTATTTTGATATGAGATTCTTTTGGTTATAAAGGGTTTCCGGTGGTCTGCTAGAAGTATGGCCGAAAATCAGTTCGAAGGGTGTGAAACCGGTGGTGCGATTTTTAGTGTTGTTGTAACAGATGACCGCATAAGGTAATATGTTTGATGGGTGTTCTTTAGGGTTTTCACTAACATGAGCGCGTATCATTTCTGTCAGGGTTGCGAGAAACCTTTCTATTGATCCGTTTGATTGGGGGTGATTAACACTGGAAAAGGTGAGTTTGATGTCGTAAAGTTCACAAAGGTCTCTCGTGAGTGTGTTATCAAATTCGCGTCCGAAGTCGCAGTGGATTCTTAATGGTGTACCGAAGTGTTGAAAGTACAAAAGGAGGGTGTTTAGTACCGAACTAGCTTTTTTATCTTCAAGGGCATATGCTTGTGTGAACTTAGTAAGTTCATCACGAACTGTTAAGCAGTAAATTCGAGATGGGTATTCGAAGATATCGATGTTAATTCTTTCGAATGCCGTTTTGGGCGTTTCGGTAACGAAGTGGAGAGCTAAGATTTTTACGGCAAATTTTAGTTTTTTGACAGATTTCGCAACTTTTAACGAATTTTTCTATGTCTTTTGACATGCCTTGCCAGTTGTATTTTTCTTTAATTCTGCGGATTGTTTCGTTAATACCTCTGTGTAAATTATTTTTTCCAAAGTGATATTGTTCGAGTATGATAGGAATTTGGTCGGGATCAGGAGATGTAATAAGGTTTTGGCATATTTTTAATTTAATATCCTTTTCAGCAATACAATACAATACACAATATGTTTTTTGTAGATAAAATTCGTTTTGGAATTTAAACAGAATATATAACAGCCGTTCTACAACTATTTCGGGGTCAAATGGTAATGGAATTATAAAGTATTTGCGATCTTTTACTGTTTTACTAGAGAGAATTGTTAAGGAATCCGTTCTGCAGTTAGGGTTTTCTTCGAAAATGTCGTCTAAAATTTCGTTGTGAAGATCTTTTAACTTGTTTTGCCAAAAAAATGCTACTATATTTTTGTGTGATTTGTCTAGTAACTGTGCGTTTGAAATGTCTATTTTTGAGTAGTCAATAAGGGATTTTGTTCTGTACAATTCGGTAAAAGTATTGTATTCGTCAAATATTTTAATTTCGTCATTTTCTTCGTTGTCACTTTCGGGATCGTCTTGGTCGGAAGGACCGGGTTGAGGTTCGTTTGAAGGAAATACAGATATTTTTGCTTGGATTTTGGAACATTCTTGAAAATGATTAATGCGGATACGGGAAAGCGCGTCTGCGTTTTTATTAGCTTTTCCGGACTTATGAATGATGGAATAATTGTATTCTTCGAGTTTTAGGCGCCACCGCGCTATCCTACTACCGGGAAAAGAGCCAAGTGAGGGGGCGATGATCTGTAACTAGTGTGAACTTGCGTCCATATAGGTAGGGGCGAAAATGTTTCACGGCCCAAACTATAGCGAGAAGTTCTCGGTCTATTGTAGAATATCGTGTTTCAGTAGCACATAAAGTTCGGGATGCATATGCAATGGGTAGGTCTTTCCCAATTGGGCCTTGTGAAAGGACGGCTCCAATTGCAAAAGCGCTTGCGTCAGTTGTAAGGACGAAGGGTTCTTCAAAATTAGGATAAATTAGAATTGGGTCAGAAGTTAAGGATTTTTTC